CCCCAAAACCCCAAAACCCCAAAACCCCAAAACCCCATAGGTAAATTTTCACATTGAAACTGTCTTTAGCTATAAATATGGAGTCGATTCATGGCTCTATTGCTTTAAAAATCTCAAATAAACAAGCTGAACCTTATCTGCCTTTGGTTACTTCATTTCTTGAGTTGAATAGTTAAGTTTGTCTATTTGAAGAATCATAATTCATATTAAAAGTTTTAATATTCTTGAACAAAATCATTTTTATTTTTCAGAATTCATAGTAAACGGCTTCTTATATTTCTGAGTTTAGCTCAGAATAAAGTAAAGAATCCTCTGGGAATTTCAGTCTTTGTCTAAAATTAATCTGAAGTGGCTAAATTCAATTTAAAGCTAAAATCTCAGTAAATCAAATTGATCTTGAGAAAGCTCAACGATGCTATTCCACATATTTCTCAAAATTTTAGTGCTTTGAGGTCCTTATCAACCCTCTAAACTAAAGCTACAGATACAATGTTTCCTGTGAAAATATCACTCTTATAAGAAGAACCCAAAGCAAGCCCTACTTCTCTTTAACCTAAATTTCCTGGACCAAAAACGAAAATTTTTGATGACCAAGTTCAAAACATGGGCTCACCATTTTATACATTAAATTAAAACAAGTACTTATCTATAACCCTGAAGTAAGCTTTCAACGATCATTTATCCGACTAAGCCCACATTTTTCAGCATATCTCTCCTTCTCCACCCAAAAACAATGCTAAGTCAGCCATTGTGCTAAAATAACGCCCTTCTCCATATTATAGGTTTCAAATTATTTTTAATAAAACTTATGAAATCGCATAAAAGTTATTGCGAACTCAAGGCGAGCTAGACGAGGTCTCACTCAAAGCATCCGTATTAAAATTTGTTTGAGAGTTATTGAAAGATACTCCCTTTGATATGGGCTCTGACAGTGGATAGAGAGGGTCACCGATTTTACCACGGAAAGTATAGTGACTATATAAAACTCCACCATGATTAAGCCCTAGTGTTACTTAATTGGAGAAGCTGAAATTTTGAAGATTTCAACCAGGTTTTATAATCAACTATGTGGACTGCGTATGGAGAGTTACACTCTCAGTATCCTTTTTGTTCTCCTGATAATCTGGACCTCATAAGCCCTGGTTTTAACATACCAGTAAGATTGGAAAGCCATGCTTAGTAAAAGAGTCTAAATTTTACGCAAAATATTGAGCTTGCTTTAAACTTTCATGCAATTTATCTCACAATCAGTTGAGAAAATGTATACAAACTCTCTCCAGTTGCTTCAGAGCAAGGCTTAAGTTCTTCCTGAGAGGCCTTAACACTAGGAATGTTTCCAAAACCTCATAGCAATCCTATTATTAGTTTCAGTTTTAAATTTGTTTGGCTCATTCAAAGTTTTAAATTTTAGGCAACAAGCTTGCCTAGATGAAATAAAAATTATTGTGAAAGTTCGGCTTTATTCTCGAACAATTTTTCAAATCTGTAGAGGATCTTGATAGATATATAAATTTGGAAACGAAGATGTTAATAATATTTATGAATTTATCTAACTTTTCCCCTTGACCAGTTACTTCAAAATGGAATGGAGCTCTTACAGGAGATTTTAAAGGACTGCTCTATCAACTGGGGCAGATTTACTGAGTCTGTCCATCAGTAGAGCAAACTCTCCCACGCCTCAATAGGTTTGGAAGCTATCAAGACTTACAGAGCTGCTCATATCCAAGTAATCTGAAATCTTCTTGAGATACTAAGTAAGTTATTTTAAAAGTTGAAAAGTAGCCAAATTTGTTATATCTCTCTGCCTCCATAAATGCTGACCCTATATTTATAGTCCTTCTGTGCAGCAGGAACAAACAGACTCGCTTTCAATTGAAAAAGCCAGAGAAAGCCAAAAATTTGAAGATATCAAAAGCGACTCTCCCGAACGAGTGAGTCTTCCAGAAACTGGTGAGTCCCCTAATGACTCGCAAAAATCAGAGGTCATCAAAAAGAGAAGGAGACGCTCTACAAAGCTTGAAATCAAATCAAAACTTGCAAGAGTCAGAGCCCAAATTCTCAAGAGAGGGATTTCTGCATTCCATCGTTCACCTAAAAAAGCGAGAGGAAATTTATCATGAAATAGTAACAGAAGATCTAGATACATTGGAGTCTCTAAAAACAATGCCCACTGGCAAGCTTTAATCAACATTAAAAGAACCAAAAAGTATATCGATATCTTCGCTTGAGAGCAGGAGGCTGCCAGGACCTATGACTTGTACGCAATTGCCCTCAAAGGAGTTAAAGCCGGCCTCAACTTCGACTACACAGCCGAGGAGATGATCGCAATGATCGACAATTACCTCAAACACAAGAGGGTAGAGATATCTTCTTAAGATAGTTTATCAATAAATGCAAACTCAATCTTTTCGAATATTTTCTAACAGTCCACAATTCAAGACGAAGCTTCTCCTTTAGATGGACATAGTTGAGAATAAATATCTGCTCTCTTGAAATTTCTCTAAAGTTCGGACCGACCGATCAAGGTAGACAACAATTAGCACCTTATCATCATGTATATTATGATGTTGTTGAATGATAGCAAGCTTAGAAATTTTTATGATAAAGTTTAGTATGAAAGTGTGTATAATGTCTACAAGTTCTTTACAAGCTACTCAACTAGGCTTAGTTAACACAACTTTGTTGTTTAACTAGAAATGGTGAGTTAAAATATAAAATGTGAGCTCCTAACCAATAGGTTAAATCATCACCATCTTGGAAATCACAGAGGATATTTCAATCAAAGATCATATAAAGGATCTGTGCATACCAGCACATAATCAATATATATGATCATGTATAGTAACCATTTACCACTAAAACACTCCTGAAATTCGATTATAACCCTCAAAATTTACTTTAACCTCTAAATATTTCTCAAATAAGCCTCAAAAGGATAAGCCATTCTGAGTTTCTCCTAAACATTTCAATTAAAAACAAATAAAAGGGGTTTTGGGGTTTTGGGGTTTTGGGGTTTTGGGG